TGAAGCGATCTAATATAAAATGTATCACAATGGTAAGGAGGCAACGGGGGGCGGGGTCACTGAAACATTCRTCTTTCGTAGACTAGATCGTCTCATTTCACAGCTGTTCATGCAGCTGACACAAGCGGCCTACGACCTATGTTGACTRTGGACAACGTGGGCTGCGATCTGCGTTAGTTGCAACGCTGGTTGCAACCCATAAATTGAGACACAGCCAGTGTAAGGACATGCTTGCGGCCATTTGGCTGAGACTCTGAGCCATGTGGAAGTTCTGGGTGAAGTGGTCCACAGTGATGTGATGTGATAAACTTTGTGTCGGCAAAATAATATTCAAGTTGAACACATTTTCTAACAATTCCCAGGTGCGAGCTCCACTTCCTAAAGTGCTGTAAGTAGAAATATACAGCAATATTCCCAACATCAGAATAAAACGTTGAGTGTCAACTGTAAAAAAAAAAAAATGCATTTTTAAAGCTTCCATGTATCCACGAAGGATCGTGTTGTTTTCTGTGATGGTTTTCCACAGCTATGGTCATGGGGTTTTTGTGGATGAAGCTTTAAGAAGGAAATGCAATCAAGTAAATATGATCACAGGATGCTTTCACAGCTGACCTCAAAGGAAGAGCAAAAAAAAAAAAAAAGGCAACATAAAGAAGCTGCAGTGCTATTGATTAGGACAACACAGCTTTGTCTGCCTTCACAGGCCTCTTCACCTCCACTCTTAACGAGACACAGAGGAAAAATCTTTTTTGACCAACAGGGGGTCAACCTGACTGCAGCCTGCCACTCAMCAAGAGGCAGCTGGCTTCAAACAGTAACTTTGGCTTTATTTATTTCTTTTTTGTTTACGTCATTGACTTTCATAAACACATAAAACTAAAGGACACAATGGATTTTTCAAACAACTCAGCCTCCCTAGTGATTAAATTATCCTTGCTTGAACTGTCTAAATCCCATTTATCAACAAATAACAAAGGATAGTACACAATTAGAGGCAAACTGAGAAAAAAACCAACACCATTATAAACAGTGAAACCAGTCGTTTGAGGAGACAACAGAATAAGAAAATAAGACTTAACGAGAGGTGGGCATTCAATAAAATGACCACATTCTTTCAGGCGGTTGGGATGAGAAGGAATCCACAGCAGCTTCTCTCTGAAGCGGCGGGGGTTAGCGGGAATAACTGAGGAGCACTTCTCGACTAAGACAGTGGGACCTCAGAGAACGCCCTTAATTTTATTTGTTCCACTTGATGGTCATAAAGGAGTCATACTCCCTGATCCACCATAAAGTCAGCAGGTTTCAGGGAGTCATGCCYTGCTTTACATCCAGCTTTCTCCTCTTTGAAGCTGGACATTTATGTTGCCCCGGGCAAGGAAATGTGCACACTGGGGACATTTATTTAACAAGTAATGAAATGTGCTTGATCAAATGAATGGAATGGTTAATTCTGTCCGTATTGATGGTAGTCTGCTGAGAGAAATGATTACTTAGGGAAAGAGAAGGCTAAATCAGACAGTTGAGTTAGTCCATAAAACAATTTTAAAAATTATGATTAATATTTTCAATCCTTTTCACAGGGGAAAAAGGTCAGAATTTCAAGCGTTTTCTGCATGAAAGTACCGTAATTATAGCAGCGTTTGAGGCAACGACCTGATTCACTTTTCAATACATCACACCTGTTTAAATATGTAAATAACGGGAAATATTTTAATGCTTTGAGTCACGGTGACATTATTGGCCTTCATCTACTCCAAGTGGAACAGTCAGGTTGCAGTAAATCTAATGAACGAGTTGATTTTGAGAAAAAATAATTAAAAGTCACCTCGCATTTATAGGGATTTATCTGTAACCTTATTAAATACACGAAAAGAAAAGTCAAGTAGGAGGTGGAAACGTGTTTTTCTTATGAAAAATGACTAAATTTAAATTTGATCATTATCACAGCTTTAGGTTTTTGCTTTGAAGGGATGCAGAACATCTGGGGTGATATTCAGCTCCTACAGGTCACGTGGGCTGTGGGTTAAATGGGGTCTTTGTTGGGTTTTCTTCACCAGACACCATCAGATCTCATCCGATTCGAGGAAGGCCGAGCGAAAACCTCATCCTCTCGGTTGTGCTGTCTGGGTGTTTTCTTTAAAGCCATGTTTGCAGACCCCCACTGCTGGTGGGCGGAGCCGTGGAAGAGTTATCACCGCCTCTGGGGAGTGATTGGTCTGTAAAAATATTTACAAAGATGTCAAGATGAGCAGTTTCGCTCACGTTTACCTGCCAGATGTCTGAATGTTTTGGTCCCAACCAACATTTTTGTTCCCCTTTAAAAATATATGTAGTGGAGACCGGGGACAGTTGCAACACTTTTTACGTTTGACTCTGTTACTCAGAGATGGTTTGAATTAGACAAACCAAATTTTAATACAATAAACTCACATCTGTCTGTTAATAGTCAAAACCATTAATAGATGATTAAAGCATGTACATTCTTCACAATTTGCATTTGAAAACGAAAAGTTATATTTTGCAACTGACCTCGGGGCCAAGGTCAGTTGCAACATTGTTAAGGGGTGGTTGCAACGTATTATTAATACAATATATTTCACTGTAAAGAAAAGTTTTATTATATTTATATTGTTGATAAATTAATAAAAACTGTAAGTTATAATGATATTACAGTGTTATTTATTTATTCTTTTTGATCAAATGGCGAATATAGATTTGCCTTGATGAGTAGACCTTATATACAGATGTCAGACTTTAATTGATATAAAATACAGTTGAATTTTTGAGACAAGGATAATAGAAGAATTCGTGAGGCAATTAACTTTTGTTTTGCCTGTTGTCACTGTACGCCTACATTATGCAACATTTACATTGAAAGAAGCTGGGATTTTAAAACCAATGAAAACAACAACTGCAGAAAATACATCTTAAACACTTTTATGTTTTAAACTACAAAATTGTCATGAATACCCAATACCCTTTTAAGTGTAAACTAAATTTCAACATCTTAATATCATCCATATGTGCTCTGTTTTTATATGGATTTATCGTATGGGGACAGTTACAACAAATGTTGCAACTGTCCCCCTTCCTGTGAGCCATGATAAAACCTCATGTATTAGCTAAATAAGCTGATCTGGATACATGTTAACCTTATTAGTTAAAAGTCAACATATCACTTGTTTAAATCATATAAATTTGAGCTGCATCACAAAAACAGTGACAACAGTATAAAAAATAAAGCTGGGRAAAAAAAATACTTTGGTACCTCAAAAACAGGTGGTTTTTTTTTTCAAATAAATCTTGGAGCAGTTTTTGAATCTGCTTACTTTTTCTTTGCAATGTGGAGCATCGAATTGAGCATGTACAGTGACTGTCATCACTCCAGCTTGTTTCTGTTTAGAGAAAAATGATGTGTTGCTACCGTCCCCGGTCTCCCTATAATATACCAAACGTTTTCAGGTTCCCATCTGATTACAAAATCACCAACAGCCCTCCCTCCCGTACCTGCAATTCTGTCTCGTCAAGACTTTAACAGAGCCGTTCGACTGTTAACAGCCTCCTCAACCCAGCAAATATTTGATCTCACATTCCCTAACACGTCCTCTAATAGCCATATGTTCGTAAAACAAATGAGTCGCTGCTCCTTCTCCTCCCCGTCTCATCCCACCACCGTCACCACAGYTAAACCCAACATTCATGTTTGAGATTGGAGAGAAAGCATTTAACACGTTGTTGTCACCCCAGAAACCAGTCACGCAGTTAATTGTTGTCAAAGAAGAAAAAAAAAGGGCAAGCAAGATCACAATTCTAACTGGCATCCCTCCATATTTTTACTCCTCTCTGTTACCAAAGTGATAAGGTTCTGCCAATGGAAGGAAAGTTATTAAATCCTCCAAAGAGAAGTGAGAACAGATAATGTTTGCAGGAGTGTAAAGTGGCCCCTTGATGGCACTTTACTTTTATGGTGTGAATAATAGAACTCTCCACTCGTGCCGTGTTCACATGAGGTCATTGCTGCTACTTTTTTTTCTCTTTTTTCCCCCCACTGGAACAGTGGCTGTGGTTTGTGTCCTCCAGGTTGCACCTGTTTTTAGCAAAAGCTGAAGAGCCCCAGAGCCGTCGGGCCCAGTTCGGAGAGAGGCACCTGAAATAGCTTGACGATGAGTCAAAGAAGGAAAAGAGAAGAAGAAAAAAATGTACCCACAGGGTAGTTCAGCCTCTCCTAGCTAGAAAAACAAGTGTCTGTTTGTCAGATCGCATCTTTTAGGTCAGCAGCTTTTGGGCATTAGTGCAAACAGGAGCATACTCTGGGGTTTGTTAGCCARAGTTCAGCTTTGACTGCATCCCTGAAGGCATCACACGTTTTAGTTTAATCTCTTTCTACTGCAAAAGCATATGGTAACAAAATGTAGCCAGAGGAAAGGTATTTAATCCTTGATGACAAGCACCTTCGAATTCAAGGAGGTCATCAAAGTGAATTTGATCTCTTTTTTTGTGAAAAGCGTTCAAAAGAAAATCTAGATATCTGTCCAAGGCACCCTGCAGTGATTCTGTGATCGGGGGGTACGATCAGATCTTCATAATAACATCTTTTAAGCTGTACTTTCACACTTCAACTTAACACACTTGGGCTAAAGAGGAAAAAAACGAACAGCGTCATGGGCCCTCAGAGGGTATAACAAGTGAGTGCAGATCAATATAGCCAGTATGTGTTAAATTTCAAGATTGTTTGATGTCTGAACAGGTTCACTGGGAACAGGTTCAGGCCTGACGCGGCGCTGAGTCACCTCCCTCCATGTCTTTTTTTTTGTGCATCTCCATAACACGAGCAGGTACGTGCTCGATTAAATATCATTTACTTTTTTTTTTTTGGTGATTGTCGTTCTGTTTGAAGCTTGTGACCTCTTTTAAATCTCTCCGATCCCACCTTCCCACCACCACCAGCTGAAAGCAGCAGAGAGCATCGCAGATGAAAAGCAACTTGGAAGATGCCAAAAGAATTATACAAAACGTCATTTATTTTTAAAAAAAAAAGCGTCATAAAAATAGAGAAATACCAATATCAAAAGCATTCAGCGTCACATTTTTCACTGTCGATATACAATCATCCCAGTCACACTTACATTCAGTATATAAAAATATATGTAAAAAAAGGAACCCTTTTTGGCTGAAAAATACATAATATTGCAGAGTAAAAATGAGGCACTTGTTTTGCTATTTGAGTGCTGGCAAACTGTTTCTACAGATTCTACAGAGTGTGCAAAAGTTATGATAATCTCCCTAAATCTAAGTTTGCACTTGTTCCCTATGGAGCAATGGCTTTTACACTGGTTATACCCACGCTGCCAGACATAAGGCACCTTTTGGTACTGCTTGCATGAAAAAAAAAAAAGAAGTGGATAACAGCCATTGAGAGGCAATGGTACAAACACTGAAGATAACATTGTGAAGGAAACTTTCTAAACATGCAGGAAAGTGCATGAATGGCACAGGTAGGTTTAGTACATGGTTCGACAAAGCTCAACGCTGATTGCAATCACAGGAACACTGATTGAAACGAGAAGCGAGGGAGTGCTGAGCGGATTTCTCACTATGAAATGAAATGGACCGGTAGAATAGAAAAAATAAAATAAAATAACAGTCTGCATATTTGTGAGCAAACTCACACACACCCCCCATTCCCTCTGCTTTGGTGTAACTCCCTGACAGCTTCCCTGGGCTTGGAGAAAATGAGGAAACGGAGAGAGGTGGAAGGGGTTTTGTTGGTGGTTTCTGGTGACGAACAAAGAAAGAAAAAAAAAAGAAAAGAAAAAGGTATCCCAGCTTCAGTGTGCCGCGCAGCAACCAGATTCCTCATGCTTGTGCAGAAGAGACATCCTGGAGAAGGTTTTGGAGCAGTTCTTGCATTGGTATTTTTTCACATCCGAATGGGTCTGTAGGTGAGCCCTGAGGTTAGACCTGTCTGCGAACGCCCTGTTGCAGTGAGGGCAGGAGAAAGGCTTCTCACCTGTGGAGGCAGAGGAGACTTCATTAAGAAAGATCTTTGCACAGACGTGATAAATTTACAGGGAAAAAAATGTGATCTTATGTGTTCATTTTAAATTTAAAGCTTAGCAGTGGAGAGGAAATGATCATGGAAGTTAAATCAGTGCCTTCAACTCAGGAGGCCCATCAGGTTCCATCCCACTCACCCGTGTGCGTCCTGATGTGTCCCTGGAGCAGCCACGGTCTGGAGAAAGCTTTCCCGCATATTTTGCAAACGCAAGGCAACGTGTGAGTCCTGATGTGCATTTTAAGAGCTCCCAGACTGACGTACTCCTTCTCGCAGTACTTGCAGCTGAAGGATTTCCGCGCCTGGGCGTCGCAGTGCAGCTGTTTGTGCTTGAGCAGTCCAGAGTACGTGGAGTAGGATTTGCTGCACAAGGCGCACTGGAACTTCTCCGCCTCCTCCCCGCTGGGGTCCGTCAGCTTGGGCAGCAGCCGCTCGTCCTCGTCGCTCCTGGGGCTTTCCGAGCCGCTGTGGTCCTTGGAGGAGGCGTCGGAGAGGGACGAGGGGTAGCCGGAGATGGGGGAGAGGTCACTGGGCAGCGGGGACAGGGGCAGGTTGCTGGTGGTCCATACTGTGATGGGGCTGTACACCGCCGGGCTCAGGATCTCCGGCTGGGGGATGACAGAGATGGGCAGGCCCTTGTAGAAGTGCGGCGTGATAAACACTGGAAAAAAAAAAGTTAGATAAAAACCGTTATCTCATCAACTTCTAGGAACAAGAGCTGACAGAGATTTTATTTATTTATTTTTTTACTTAATTACCTGTTGGGCTTTCCAGCTCACTATAATTTGGCTTCTTTGTGGAGTTTATGTGTTTCTTGACCAAAAAGGATCGTGGCATTTTGGAAAACAAAAGAACCAAACTTTCTGGGCAAACTTTCTTCTTCTTCTTCCGCCTCAGCAAATAATCAGCAGCCTTGTAGTTTGTTGCGTAAAAACGGAAATCCTTATGGTTTTAAGTCCAGCGGAGCGTCATGGTGCGTCGCTGCCTTCTTGGAAACAGTGCCGTAAAAAAGCTGTAAATACTCCCTATATCAGGTGCATAGGAGGAGCCATCCACTTCTGTTTTACATATGCTGGGACCTCAAACCAATTAAATCTCGCCCYGACTGCCGGAGCTTCAAGAAGCAAAGCTTTTAGCCTGTAGGAAGGTCCTCGTGTGTGTGGGCAGGCTGACACTCCCCCATGTCTTCCAGCAAGACAGGTGCTTTCTGCAAAAAACTGTTCCAGGGGCGCTTGCATGAACTCAGTTGGAATTTTAAGTGAAAATGGAGAGCTGAATGCTTAATGCTGAAAGAAAAGATGCAAAGCAATTTAGCAATTTGTTGAAAAATAGACAAAAAAGTTAAAACTAGCAGCTGAAAAAGCTGCATCTAGCACAAAGCAGAAACAGCACATTTGCTGAGTTAAACAGTATGTAGCTGAAATGATCACAAAAAGATAATATAGCTGAAACAAATCTAAAATTAGCTGAAAATGTCTAAGAAAAAGGAGCTTAATTATCAGAAAATATTTGAAAAAAATCCTAAATTAGCAGAAAGAAGCTGATAGAAGCACAAAAAATAATTAGCAGAATAGCTGGAAAGAGCAGAAATTATGGAAGCCCATTTCTGCCACCCTGATAAAAAATAAAACTTGTATCTCATAATTATGACTTAGCTATCTCCTTATTATGAGATAGTGTCTCATAATTATGAGATAGCTAAGCCATAATTATGAGATACAAGTTTTATTTGTTTTTTTATCAGGGTGGCGGAAATGGGCTTCCATAAGAAATATAGCTGAAAAGCAGAAAAAAGCAAAAAATAGCAACAAATTAAGCTAAAATTATCCCAGTGAAGTTGCAAAAAAGTAGTAGTAACCAGAAGCAGAAGTGCAGGAAAAGTTAAGCCATTTTAATATAAGGATGTAAGGATTATAAGGATGTTGAAGACAGCTCAATGAAAAGAAAAAATGGCAGAAAAAGCCAAATATCTTAAAAAGTATCAGTTGCTGAAATGCAAAAGGTCATAGCCAAAAGGTCCTAAAGGAGCTGGGCATTTTGAGATATAAATCGTTGAAATAGCACAAAAATAGCAGAACAAGAYACGTGTCAAAAAATGCACAAAAAGAAAAATGGATAACCTTAATAGTGTGAATGCTTAAAAAAGGCATTCACACATTTACAAGCATTCAGCAGGAACAAGAGCAAGAGCAGCAGGAACTCATTTAGGTGCCAACATAAAAAAATAAAATAAAGCTAAAGAAGCTCACTCAAGACTGAGGTGCTGGCAGGAGAAAATGAACACAGAAGAAATAGGTGAATTATTTCAAATGCCATCTGTACGGCAATTGCTGCTTCAAGTGTGCACTGATGAGTGCTCTGAAAACCTCTTTGGGACTTTACTGTAGCTATGGGTGGCATGTTGGAATCGAAGAACACACAAAAGAAGAGCTGCATAAGTTCACATTAAATATATAAATCACTGCAGGGTCCAGGAGAACCACCAACTTCATGGTTACCATCCGTGCAGGGCGGTTGTGGAGAAAGCTACATGTTTCGTAGCCAACAGTGCAACAACCTTCTTGAAAATGTAAATTTCAATGTAGCCCCTCTCAAGGTCAGCATGATAATCAGATTTTATTTTTAAATCCCTGCTGCTCAACTGAACTGGACACAGAGGCAAACTTAGCAGTGTACGCCCCCTTGTGTTGGAGTCAGTTCTTCTGGAGGAGTTTGTTGGCCATCTGAAGTGACAAGGCAGAAACAAGAAGGCACACAACGGCTTATAGCTGCAGCAATGTTGGAAACCAGCAACCTGGAGCGGTTTGATTGGCTGGGGCAGCAGATAGAAACAGCTTCTTACGTCTGGGGGCACGCCTTAAGTTAATTGTGAACTGCTTATCTTATCTAGAAAGCATAATTGCAGATCAGGAATAGCTCTTCTTTTGTGCCAGCTTGGAATATAAAGGCAAAAGGAAGGTTATCTGCACATAATAACTCCATACTGTCACAGAGTCAGCGCTGCGGCTACAACGATGCGGTGAGGAACGGTGATGTTTTGCTGAGGAAACAGTTGTGCACTCTTTAGGAAAAAAGAAAAGAAAAGAAAAAGCTTTGAAATAAAAAACCAACCAAAACCATGAAGCAGAGCATGCATAGGCAGGTGCAAGATGCCTCCTTGCAGGTTTTATGCTTCACTTCTGTTTCCTGGATGCTTTATTTTACTGATGAGGGGAGTATAAAACTCGCATCATGTCTCTTTATTCTGTAAACAACACGCTGTAGGATTTAAGGTCACAAAAATGAATCAAAATGGCTTTGAATTCTTGCCTTGCACATATAAGAAGATCATATCTAAGCCCCCATCATGTTCCTTCATGTTCCAGGAATTTGAATCGACATAGATATGTTTTTTTTTGTTCTTGTTTTTGCTCATTATTATTATATTGTGAAACACTGAACCCCCAATTAGTGCTGGGAGCTGACTGAGTAGAATGGGAAAATGCTCTTTTCATTCACTTTTCTTTTTCCTCTCTTGTCTTACTGAATGTAATCATGTTTGCTTGCATTTGTTTGTTTTAGGTCTGTGTTTTTTTGTAAAATCATTCAGGCTCCCACCTACCCTGCAGAAGCTTTTGTTTACATTTAATCCACATATACAGTGGCTGTAGGTTCCTCTGTGCATGCAGTGTTTTAATTATACTGTCAGATTAGTAGTGCATACAAAAAAAGCCCACCCTAATTATTTTGCATTGAATGGTTTAAGATCGAAATTAAAGATTTTAATACTACATCTGAATAAAATCAAGCTAAAACTTTATATTTGGTAATCTTGTGGTTTGGTTATTTTTACTTTTTTTGTTACTAGCCTCCAAAAGGTGAAGGTGGACAATAATGTTTTTCTCCTTGCATGTGCTTATTTGTTTATACTGTCAGCAAAATACCACATAAACCAATGGACAGAATTGAATGCAAGACCTCAGAAAGTAGCATCGACAGCTGATTACCTTTTGATGGTCACCACGACAAAGCACACACATCTTAAATTCAGTTTTACATATAATAATTTCATAATTGGTGTGGTACAAGCTGAGCCTAATCCAAAACACATAGTCTGAGTGCTGCACTCAGTGTCCACCTCAACCCAACAAGGAGAGCTGCTGTCAGAACATGATTATAAAAATCTCTCATGCTGTTACGGTTGAGCTTGGTTGGTTTGAACCCCAGGATGCAAGACTGAGTGAGGGTGGCAAAAAAAGTTTATTAAAGCAACAAAAACTAAAACGCTGACGTGGCAGCAAACAAAATTCTTGGCTTGGCATGAGACAACAGTAAACAGAGAACAATGATCTGACAAAGATTGAGGACAAAGGACAGAATATAAAGGAAGAACTAATGAGGTAAAACAAGAAACACCTGGCGAAGAAACATGAGGATCAGGTGTGAGTGGGCGGGGCTAGAGCAAAGGCAGACAGGAGGAAGAAAACAGGAGAAAAAGATAGAAAACTTAGAATTGATTTGATTGAT